TATTATGAAAATGAGAACTTTAGTTCCAAGATACCATTTAGAACAGATCTACACTTGAAATAATTTTAGTTCTTAACGTAGCTTACCTTTAGATTCTGATTACCGCCGTTTGCCATTGCGTGCTTAGTTTTTCTGAAATTCCTTTGCTTCTCCACAAAGTTAAGTGAAGTACTAAATGTAGGTGGTGACAAACTCTTAGATGTGTAGGCCCTGAAAGGGGATAAAATAAATGATCATTTTATTCCCATTAGTTATTCAGGATTTTTAAAAAGTTCCCCTTCAAACAGGTTGCAGCAATCATAGTCTTTTCCTTGAAAGCAAGGAATAATTGTTTTTTAAAAAAGATTTCTACCTCTGAGATAGGGGGCTTTATCTATAGAGTGTCCATAAAATTCATGTTAATACTATTTTAAAATGCACATGAACTTTATGGACACCCTGTATAAACATTTGGTATTAAACTCAAAATAAATTAAGAACAGTTCAAAAACAGTATCCTGGGTTCTACTACCAAAATAACTAAGTTGTCTTATTTTAAATTTAAATGTAAGTTAAATCAGGATATTAACATTAAGTTATATTTAAACGAAAGCCTCCACAGCCAATTTCTGCACTTGCTCGCCCTCACGCTCTGTTCATGGCTGTATGTCCAGCACTCTACAGAATTAGCAGCTTCAATATCCTTGGCTTCTAAATGACCATGTGGAAAAAGCTCAAGCTATTTTAAATGCAGATAAGTTAGAATCCTTGCTACTCTTTGTTTTCTTGTGAGCATATCTGTTGCCTATTTTTAACAGGAAGTATCTGAGCCTTTGAAAGACATCAGGAGTCTGGAAGCAGATGTTTCCAGGACAGAGGTGAACAGCACAAGGCACACAGGCTGGTCCCTGCTCTCTGCTGCCAAGACTCCTGTGGGCAAACTACCCAGCTCTAGCAAAGCAGCATTCAATTTACATATCACCTCTCTTTTCCCACAGACTCAGGCTACCCATCTCCAATATGTACGTATCCAAATGATTCAGTAAAACATCAGCAACTTAAATCTGACAACTTATAGGTCACCTGATCCTAAACATGAACCACCTGCCTTTCTTCCATCCCCAACTTTATTGTGGTTGTTATTAGCTTAAAGCATCAAACACAAGTGATTCTTAAATTCATGGGCAAAGCCATCCCAAGAAGTAGCTACTGACCTGCTATTAACTCACCTACTCTCATAAAAGGCTTTTATTGGATTCTTATTTGGTGTTCGACCTATAAAAGTCAATCACACACACACACAGTAATCAATGGATTGGCAACACAGATGTTAAAACGATTTTCAAATTTCCTTTAAGCTGATTGTAAGATCATCAAATTTAGAAAACTGAAAAGCAAACCTAAGCAATTTTACATTTCTAGATGTCTTCGGTTTTAGGATGGTGTCAACAAGAAGTTACACAAACCTTGCCTGACATTCCACTACGTGTGATCACTGACAAGATGACAGCAATATATTAATTTGAATCAGAGATGGTACCTGTCTTCAAGGAGCTCACAATCTTATAATCATGTTATGTTTGATGACAACATCTCTCAGGGAAATAGGATTAAGCTCAGCTCCATAAGACACTAATACCCAAAAAAGAAAAAATAGGAAAGACCTATATGCTAAAAATGTAAAGCTAAGGAATTTCAGGCATTGGAAAAAGTAAAATGACTTAGAAGAGAAAACAATGGCAGAATAATGAAAACCTACCACTCTCAGCCTGCACAGCCAATTCCTGATACATATATGTGTATATATATACACATATAAAATACACATATATATACATATATGTTTAGCACACTATAGAATTAGCCACAAATATGATGCAAAAAATTAAGCAACTCTACTGAAGAACTTCTTCTTTAGGAAATAATTTTTAATAATGAAGGGAAAATTTAAAAATTATTTTGTTTCAAAAAGCTCTTACTTCATTCAAAATTTCTGGGAAAGATATTTTTCTACAGAAGGATAAATAATAACAATTTGATTGCTGTCTGTTTCAAATAAAAAACATAAATAATTTATAATTACCTAATGGAATGTTAACAATAATGTAACTCTACACAGATAGAAATAGAAATCTTAAGTGACATGACCAAGACAACAAAACAAAATAAGAACAAATCATCTGAGAACTGATTTATGATCCTCCATTAATCCAAGAAACCCACCTTCCAAAGTTTTAAAGGGAATTCAACTATAACCAAAAGAATCTTAGGTGAAATACCTTGTAGGTCTTCTATTTGTTTTTGTAACTTTACATGCTGCTGAATAAGATCCTTGATTCCCTCAGGGTCATTTTTACAGAGTTTTTGAGCTTTTATGTTTGCTTGAAGGGCCCAGTCATATTCCCCCAGCATAGAAAGAGCATCACAATAACGATAATGACCCTGTTCCAAAAAGATAAATTTATTTTTTTCTCAAAAATATATTTAAGTTAAAGAAAATAGATAAGGAAAAATACTTTGCTTGAAAACTGATTCACTGCTTACAATATTAGATTAGGCCCCTAATAATGAAAAATAAAAATGTTAAGCCCTCAGGAAATAAAATGAATGAAGTGAAAATTATAAATAGGTAAATAATTTTTAACAACTAAGGATCAATATTTTTGCTTAAGAGACTTTTGTACCCCCAAGAAAGAATTCAATTTTTGTTTTATTTTACTAATAAGGAATGAAATATATCATTTTGTGCCAGATAAAGTATAAAAGTCACTCTTTATAATTTTCCCAGAATACTTTAAGGCAATGATAGTCTCTAAGGCATCACATTCCCCACACCTTGGAGAAAGTAAAAGGGGTTGAGATCTGGAAGAAGCAAGGCAGTTTTCCAACGTCTCTGCAGAGCACAGGCACGAAGGATGCACTCAAGCCAGCTCTTCCATCCACCTCTCTCCCTTTTAATCAGCTCTAAATTATTTCATCTCTAAGAGAAGTTTCTGGCTCTAAGAAAAAGTCCAAAACCAGTGATTTACTTTTAAGTCCAATGATAAGGGTTGTTTTGTTTTTTGCCACAGAACAAAAATCCCTGCTAGCTTCATTTATAGCAATCTTATACATAAAGCATAAACTTTTAAATCTAGAAGGTTTATAGTATCAAAACCTGGGATTAACTCAATCAAACCCCTTCTAGCTACTCACAAACTAAACTCCCATTTTAGGCATAGTACCAATGGAGAGATGATGTACAAGAAAAAGAGGCCAGACCTTGGCCTAAAGTCGCACTTAGAGGCAAACCAAAGAACTTGATTTTATGAGACACCTGCTCTAGAACTCTGTCCTCCTTACTACACATTCTATAAAGAACATTCTGATTCAATGAGAATCTAGGAGAAAAGATAAAATCAACGTAAGTAACTCTTTAAGGAAGATTAGCTTTTCCGTTGAAAGAAGCTAGAAACAATCACGTGGCCACGCGTACCATGAGGAACCTTCTGGCATCTTTTTAGACAGACTACTTAGGCTTAGAGCAAAGCTCCCAATTTAGATTGCATTTCATTAAACTCTAGTGTTATTTAAAGGGGAAAGAGTCTGTTTCCTGACAATTGAGATGTAAGATAAAGGGAACTCTCAGACATATGCTACAAGGTCAAATACTATGCTCTAGGCTAGCGGTGTCCAACCTGTAGCCCACAGGTTGCACACTTTATTCTGTGAGGACTTCTTTTCTCGGGTGAAGTTGTCACTGTTGGTTAGCAGGTCCAGGCCAGGCTCGAACCCACCAGCCTCAGTGCATGTGGCTGTCACCCTACTCACTGAGCTATGGGCTCTGAGCCTGTGAGGATTTTTTTTATCTGTTGTGTTAAAGATCATGAAAAGTATGCATTACTCTTTTCTTTTTTTTTTTTGCTAATCATCTTTCCTTAGTGTTTGTGTACCTAATATGTGGTCCAAGACAAACTCTTATTCTTCCAATCTATGACACAGAAAAAGTTTGGACACCACTGCCTTAGGCATTTGTCAACTTCAAAGTTTAGCTAACTGCAAAAATAAACATAGCTAACATGAGAAATGATGACAGATCAAAAACCAAACTGGCTAAATTTGTAGAGAATACTTTATTTCTCCCCCCCCTCATTTTTCTGTTATTAGATCCTCTTCTCTAAATCCTATAAAACCCAGTATAAATGTTATTGATTGAGAAAGGAGCTGTTTCAATGAAGCTTAAATTAGCAGCACCTCAGAGGAACTCCCTACACCGTTACTAAGGTTTGCTCTTCCTTGACACCATCTCATCTCCATCACATACCTGTATATGGGCGCTCCCTACTGCTCATCTGCCTGGCATCCCCTCCTTACGGAACCATCATGTCCCTACTCCTCACAGTAAGGGCAGGACTGTCAAGTCTCATGCTCCCAACCCAACAATGGCTGGGAGGGAGGAAGAGTGGCAGTGTCCCTAAGAGACTGGCCAATCAAAATGTACCATTTCCCAGGTCTCAGCAATGGTCCATGGACCATTGAGATCTGGAAGAACAGTCAGGGTGCATGGCAGTTTTCCAAAGTCTCTGCAGAGCACAGACACGAAGGATGCACTCAAGCCAGCTCTTCCATCCACCTCTCCCCCTTTTAATCAGCTCTAAATTATTTCATCTCTAAGAGGAGTTTCTGATTCAATCAGAATCAGTCTGAGGCATTCCTGATGTTTACTTACAGATACCAAGATTTAAGTTCTCTTTTTGCTGGAATTAACAGCTATTAAGAATATCAGTTTGAGGATCCCACTACATGGTAAAAGTCTTTTTAAAAATGAAGCCAAGAAAGCCTATCCTTCAACTTCCACTTCTGACCAAGATGAAGAAGTAACAGGGAATAAATCTACCCCTCTACATAAAACAAACAAAAGAAAAAAACAAAAGACATGATAGGCTTGCAAGACACTGGATTATTAGGAAACAAAATGTGATCACTAAGAGATAAGAAACACACAAAATAAGCCCCATGCCTGCTCCAGCTTACTGAGTCTAAGCTACAGCTCAGGAACAGGGAACCTAGGCAGATACTCAGAGTTTCTCTCAGCTAAGGAAACAGAGCTGGGAGTCTGGAGGAGCAATGCAGCTCAAGTTCAAAAGGCAGAGAACCAGAAAGGAGAGAGGTGCGTAGACAGAGAATTCCAGAACACTGCGTAGTGTGCCCCTTGAGTTTTCAGCTGAATATTGATTAGCACAGGCATGTGGGGCAACTACCCATGGCCAACAAAAGAACTACATGAAAGACTTACAAGGAATAGCAGCCAGAACTCACAGAGCCAGGATAGTTCCGGATGCCACCGACCAGAGTGGAGAACAGCATAGCTCATGGAGCACCAAGTAGAGTACCCCGAAAAGTTTTGCCTCAGTAGTGGTGAAAAAAGTAGTCCTACACAAAATGCCAGTATGGGCCCACTTAACAAAGCTGAAAACAAGACCCCAAAGAAAGAACTAAACTGTTTCCAAGTTACTTAACTACACTCAAAAATATTTATAGGAAAATATACAGAATCAAACAAGTTAAAATTCAATGTCTGGCATCCAGTCAAAAATTACCAAAGAAGGAAAACATATCATAAAAAGAAAAATCAGTCAATTGAAAACAACCCACAAAATAACAGATGATAGAATTAGTATACAAGGACATTCAAACAGTTATTACAACTATATCTCAAACATTCAAGAAAGTAAAAGAAAGATTGAACATACTAAATAAAGACATAAAATACACAAAAAGATCCAATTTACCTTCTTAGTATGGCTGGACACAGAGGCTCACTTCTGTGATCCCAGCACTCTGGAGAGCCAAGGCAGGTGGATCACTTGAGCTCAGGAGTTCGAGACCAGCCTGAGCAAGGATAAGATCCTGCTCTACTAAACATAGAAAAACTAGCTGGGTGCTGATAGTCCCAGCTATTTAGGAGGCTAAGGCAAAAGGATCGATCACTTGAGCCCAGGACTTTGAGGTTGCTATGAGCTATGATGCCATGGCACTCTACCCAGGGTGACAGAGTGAGACTCTGTCTCAAAAAAAGAAGGAAAAAAAAAAAAAACTAAAGATGATAATTATAGCATTTAAGATGAAAAATATATTGTATGAAAATAAAGGCAGTTTAGATACTCAAGAAGAAAAGATGAGTGAACCTGAGGACATGGGAATCCTATGTAAAATGAAATACAGAGAACTCAGGGAAAAAAGACTAAACATGAAGCTGAGAAACAGGGAACCAAAGCTGAGCAACTGAAGGAAAAATGTGTACAGATCTGGAACCAGCCACGACTGAAGCTAACCCAGACTTTTCAGTCACATGAGTTAATAAAGTCCCTTTTCTATTTACACTAAATCTGAGTGAGGCTTCCCTCACTAACAAGGGAATCCTATTTATACCTTTCAAAATCAAAAGGTTCTTGAGGATATTTGAGGCTATAGGGATAGGCTATCCTGCATAACATACATCAAAAGGCAATGCATGCACACAGACATGTCCACAAACATCTGTTGATTCTACCATAAAAATTCTCATTCTTTTGCTCAAATGACTCACTCTCTCTAAAGCCTAGGAGTAAGTCTAAGACAGGTGACACTGTACTAGCCTTCTCTATTGGCAAAAAAGGGAAAAAAGGCCTACTCTAAAACAGAAATCTAAAGAGTACCTTCCTCTGCAGGCTTCTGTCTTAGAGGTATGACTTCATAGACTCAGGCACATAAGTAACTCTTATAAAAGTAAAGAATAAGCCTTGCAAAATTTACTTTTACTTCTGAAATTTAAACTATCCTTTAATGAGCATAGCTTTCTGGTAAAATAAAAGGAAAAATAACCTAGTTACACAGTTGCCAAAGTTTCTGAATACTTACTAGTGGTTGTGTGTTTTTATCTACATAATTATACGACACATCATAAAACCCAATAAAAGAGTAAATGTTAATATTTAACACTCTCCATAAAGTCTTCAAAATAATTCAGAAAGGTTTAATATTCTTTTTTTGTTTTTTTTTAAACTGGTAATGATTAAATAGCTCTAGGTATCACTGGAAGACAGTAGCATGGTCTGGATTTCAGTATTCAAAATTCTATCCTTCATTCATTTTACTAATATTGATAGAGTATCTGCCAAACGCCAGGTTCAGGAATTATCAAAGATTTTGTTTCAGGCAAAAGAATGACTCATTACAAAAAATATATATATATATAGCCATAGCCAGGCATTGTGGCGGGTGCCTACAGTCCCAGCTACTTGGGAGGCTGAGGCAAGAGAATCACCTAAGCCCGGGAGTTGGAGGCTGCTGAGAGCTGTGTGATGCCACAGCACTCTACCAAGGGCTATGAAGTGAGACTCTGTCTCTAAAAAACAAACAAACAAAAAAAGCCACTAAACTGATCACCCTCCACCATCCATTACAGGATTCTAAACCCACTTGCCCTGAAACCTCACAAGAGTCATTTCACCCCTCTGGGACTCAATTTCATCAAGTGTAAAGCAAGGCATTTTAAAAATGATTCTAAAATTTGGACCTAGAAGTCCACCTGGAGAATTTTAAAATCTCTATGCTACTAGATACTCTCCTAGGCCACCTGAGTCACAAGTTGGTGGGGAAAGGCAAAGAAATATTTTTGAAAGATCTCCAGCTGTCTTTTCCCTTTGATTTTATACCCTTCTATACTGTTTTTCTTTTTTATCACATGCTAATGTAAAGGAAAAATTCATTTTTAGAAAACAGTAAAATACTACAATCAATCAAACAAAGTCTATCCATAGAGTCTAGATTAAATTCTCTATGGCCTTAAGATTCTATGATTCTACTCCCTCTGGTTTTAAAAACAAATTCTGCAAAACCAGGAATGAATAATGAAACATATAAATTTCTGTGTCTTATTTAAAGTTCTATTTAAAAAATTTTTTTAAAGATTTTTATAATTAGAGATTAATATAACAACACTCAGAATTAACTCTTAATATTTTGTCATATGTGCTTTGGGTTCTTTTTTTGGTAAAGAAATAAAACTACAGAGATACAGTTGAAATTTCCTTTATACCCGTTTCCAATCACCTCTCCCTCTCTCACTGCCCAGAAGCAACAATGACTTAAGATGGGTATTCTTACAGTCTATATTATGCTTTTACTAATTTTTTCATTTAACACTTTTTTAAATTTATAGATATTAACTAGTCAACTCATTTCAACTACAATCTAGTATTTGATTTATTCATTTACCAAGTCAACAGATATTTACTATTGAGTTCTGCTAAGGATCAGGCAGTCTGACATCAAGAATAAACCAAACAGACTAAGAAAGTTTTCCTTTGTGGAACTCACATTATACTAGAAGACACACAATAAATAACTCAAATATTGTATGTTCAATAATGGTAAGTGCTAAGAGAAAAAAAAAAAAAAAACAGGTCAAGAAGACAGGAAGTGTCTAGGGAGGGGTAGGTGTGGCATGTTAATAACATGGCCAGGGAAGTTTCCACTAAGAGAACTTGTAATGAAGAATGGAAGGAAATAAAGAAGCTGGTTAATGCTCTGGAGAAGAGTGTTCTAGGTAGAGGGAAGAGCAAGTACAACGTGGAAGCAGGTTTGGCATGTTTGAGAACAGCGAGGATGCCAAGAGGCCAACATAAAGTGAACCAAGCAGAGAATGGTAGGAATGAGGTCAGAGAAATAATGGGTGTTCAAGATGGGAGACAGATCAGATAGATCTGAGTAACAACTTTAAGCAAATACAAATACCACATTCATCTGCTGCTTTATCAAGCAACAGGTATTTGAATTCTGTGCCATCAAAATAATGCTGTAACGACCAACCTTTACATCTCACCTTGTATATGTATGCAAGAAATCTTCTAGGGTACAAATACTTATGTACATCCTAGTCCTCCATAAGTTGGGTATAAGCAATCCACACTCTCACCAATTTACTAAAGGTTCCTGTTCCTACACACACTCAGGACTGTTGGTCTCCTTCCTTCTTGCCAAACTAAAGGACCCAAACATACCGTGTTCTTTACTCATGTATATGAGGGTCTGTGTGGAGACCCTCTATTCTGCTCTACTAGTTTCACTTTTCCTTATCTGTTAACAATCCCCTAAAATTTTAAGTACTAGGAAATAGAACATAGTTTCTTATTTCTATTGGCCATTCTGGATTACTCTTTTATGAAATCCTTAATTGTCTTATTGGTTCATCTTAGTGGCTCATTTTCTTTTGGGTTTCTTATTTATTTTAGGAGTTCTCTGCATATTCTGGATATCCTGTCAGTTGTGTATGTTACAAATTACTTCCTCCCAAAATACTATTTCATTCATGGTGTCCTTTGACATACAGAAGTTTCTAGGTTTGATACAGCCCAACACATCAAGTTATTTTTTTCATTGCTGATTTGTGGGTTAAGAAATCCTTTCCTACCTCCTATGAGTTTTCTTCTAAGTTGTGCAGTTTCATTTTTCACATTCAAGGACATCTACCCAGAATTTGCAGAGGGTACCTCTCAACACTAAGGCATCCTCAAGATGGGTGCTCCTCACACATACACACAGCCTCTCCCTATGGCTAAGTACCCGTGCTGATAGTGGAAATGAAGATTCCCCTTGGATATTCTTGAGCTCACATAATTTCATACAGCATTTTTACATACAAACACAACATGTAAACAGGTTTTTTTCTGAAGTTGTATGGCATCATTTGCTCACATGTGAAATACAGAAGAAATCTACCTTTGGCCAAGTGCTCTTCAGAATAGTGGCTCTCTTTCCATCACCAAGTGCATTTCTAAAAATAAAAGCAAGAAATAAAATATTTAAATATGTTTATTCTTTTATTATAAAAGCATTACATACTGTTTATTTATACTTTGTGAATTGTTCACCGATATTATATAGTCAAAATATAATTTTTAATAATCCACATAATATACGTCCATTATAGGAAATTTGGAAAATACAGAAAAGTAAAACAAAGGGAAAAAGTCACCCAGAGTCACAATCACAACTACCCAAGAATAACTACATTTAATACTTCTAGAGTATTAAATACTTCACATAACTTACCAACATCCTATCTTTGCATATCTTATTATTTGTATGTTTTTCTGCACTATTTCTGCATGTCAGTAAGAATTCTAATCTCCAAAAATATAACTCCCAGGTCTTTCACACAACACATCAACTAAGCTATCTGAAACAGAGCCTGAATGCTGGGACATGACACCTGGGTTGGGTCTAACTCAATTCCTAATTCTTTTTATTTTATTTCTTTTTTTTTTTGAGACAGAGTCTCACTATGTCACCCTTGGTAGAGTGCCATGGCATCACAGCTCACAGCAACCTCAAACTCTTCTTGGGCTTAAGTGATTCTCTTGCCTCGGCCCCCCAAGTAGCTGGGACTACAGGTGCCTGCCACAACACCCGGCCTTTTGTTTTTGGTAGTTGTTATTGATGTTTGGCAGGCCCAGGCCGGGTTCGAACCCACCAATCCTGGTGTATGTGGCTGGCACCCTAGCTGCTGAGCTACAGGCACCAAGCCTCAATCACTAATTCTCTCGGGACCTTTAGAAGTTATTAACCTGTCCGTAAAGTGAGGATAACAATTCTTTTCTACCTGGTTTGAGTTTGACACTAAGTAAGATTCAATAGAAAAAATACCTTGTACAATGCCAAATACTAACAGACCCAATCCTAAGCTCTCCATTTCCCAGGCTCCTGCATCTTCAATGACCTCCTCTTCTACCCCAACTTAGCCACCTATCATCATCCCCTGGGCAACTTAAGACCACTCAGAACTGTCTGAACTCCAAAATCACTAATTTAGGCGTCCAACTCTTCCCCACAATCCATCTTATCTGTCCAACTATTCTTACTATCTTCTCAGGGTGCCCAACTCACTGATTTACCCACTTTCTCTTTAACTTTCCTATTTATCTAGCTTAAGCTTTCCTGATTCATCATTTTATATTCATATGTGTATCAATTCATCATTCTAAAAAAGATTACAATGACAAACAAAAAATAAGTAACTTATACTCCTAGACATCAATACCTACAGAAAGGCCATGTACAAAGAACAGCTCTGTAAGGCAACCTGATCAACATGGTAAAACAGAGAAACCAGAAATGAATCCTTACATAGGATCACCTAATTTATGACAAAAGTGATACTGCAGAAACTATACTCTTTTAATAAGCAGTGCTGGATCATCTGGACATTCATAGGAATCTTGAACTCTACCTTACACTAAAAACAGAAGGCAAGTCCAGAGGAACTTCAGAGCCTAATATCAAAGCTAAATAATCAAATGTATAGAAGAAACAGAATATTTTGGAAACCTCAGAGTAGGCAAGGACTATAAACAGAACACAAAACCACTTATTATAAAGAAGAACATTGATAAAATACATTAAAATTAATTTTCTTTGTAAAAGCATCAATAGTGAAAAAGAAAGCTACTGAGTTTTGGCTCAAGTGTCTTGAGTCTACAAGACACTTGTAATAGGTAAGTATGACCTATATATAGGTAAGTACGACTCATATTCAGACTACAAAAAAAACCAAAAAACTCCTACAAATGAATAAAACATTAACTCAAGAGAAAAACAGCAAAAACTGCTCACAAATGTCAATAACCACATGAAAAGATGCTCAATTGAAATATCCTTAATCAACTTATGTAACTGAAAATAAAAATCACAGTACCATATGGCCAAAATATCTAAACTGAAACATGCAAAGTAACAAGTGTTGGTGAAGGCATGGAACTAAAACTCTCAGAAACTCCCATTCACTTCTGGTAAGAATGTAAAATGATACAACCAAAGGAAAATTAAAATCGAACGTAAGCATGCCCTCTATTCCAACACTTCTACTTCTTGACTGTACACTCAACAGAAATGAAGATGTATGTTCACAACAATACTATCTATAAAAGCCAAATACTTGAAACTACCTAAATGCCCCTTAACAGAATGGATAAAATATGGTATATTCATGCAACAGATGAACATTTTACAACTACGTGCAACAATATGGATCTCAAAAACAATGCTGAAAGCCAAGCATAAAAGAGCACATAGCATATTACTCCATTTATATTGCACAAAAAAACAGGCACCATTACCCTATGGAAATAAGGACAGTAGTTACCCTAGGGTAGGAGGTGGGCCATGACCAGAAGAAGGAACAAGGGGTTTGGGGTTAGGATCTGTGTGCTAGTTACAACTGTTTGATCTCTCAAAATTCAGCCTGTACACTTAACATTTGTATACTTTTCAGCATGTATTAAGATTAAAAGATTCAAGACAAACGTGTCTTTTTACTGGAAATGTCTGAATTACAGTCATGAGGGGGTACCCTGAGGACCAAGTTAGTTACACATGGAAGCTGGAAAAATCTAAGTCTCTGATGACACTGACCTCTAAATATACAACCCATAGCAACCTTCTACTGTAACTCTCGAATAAAGTTTGTCCACCATTTGAGCCAACTGATTGTTACCTGCAGCCAAAAACATCCTAATGCAATGGTACACCTCCTAGGCTAACAGTGGGTCTCTCTCCCCGAACACCTTTCAAAGCCAGGTGTCTCCATTTCCTCACATTTCTCGATCCCATCTTACCATCTTCTGTCCTAAGCTTCCTACAGACAATTCTTGCTGTAGCAAATAAATAATCTCCATTTTGCTAAATCCAAATTCCAGATTGTTAGCAGCAGCAGACACTGCTGGCCACTCTTTTGCTTCCTTTCATGACATTAGAGACTTAAGTCTTTGTCCTACCTCTCTAGAGGGTCACATCTTTTCTTTTTTTTTGGAGACAGAGCCTCAAGCTGTTGCCCTGAGTAGAGTGCCATGGCATCACAGCTCACAGCAACCTCCACCTCCTGGGCTCAAGCAATTCTCCTGCCTCCACCTCCCAAGTAGCTGGGATTACAGACACCTGCCATAACGCCTGGCTATTTTTTGGTTGCAGCCCTCATTGTTGTTTGGCGGGCCAGAGCTGGATTCAAACCTGCCAGTTCTGGTGTATGTGGCTAGGGCCTTAGCTGCTTGAGCCACAGGTGCCGAGCCTAGAGGGTCACCTCTTAATAGAGGCCTGCGTGTGTTGGGCCTTCTATAATTGGCAATTAACTATCTGTTTCTCCAGGCTCAATCTTGGCTCCTCTTCTCATCTCAGCCTGTGTTCTCACCAGACTGTGGGCCTCAACCTTGACAGCCCGTTAGTATTATCTGGGGAGCTTCTAAAAGCCCAATGCCTGAACTTTACTCTAGATTAATTAAATCAAAATCTTTAGTGCGGGTGGTATATTTCTTCAAAGTCCAAGTGATTCCAATGTACAGTCCAAGTTGACAACCACTCCCCTAAGCAGCCTCACCCACATCTACAATTTCAAACCATCTACACTATCCCAAATTTGTCTTCTACCCAACTCTCAGAGTTCTAGACCCATATAACTATCTACACGACATTCCAATTTATATGCTTCAAAGGCACTTCAGTTCAGTATGTCCAAAAGTGAAGTCAAATTCTACTTCCTACAATGTATTCCTTCCAGTGATCCAAATGTTAGTGAGTGGGCTTGTAAGTCATGAAACTACTTAAGGCACAAACCTTAGAACAATTCCAACCATTTTCTCTCTCAGGGACCATCCAGGAAGAACCACTGCAACTTTCATTAAGGTTACCTCCAAAATATCTTGAATCCTTCCATTTTTCCATTCCCACTGCCTTATGTAGCTCTAAGCCACCATTGCCTCTGCCTCCTAACTCACGTCCATGCTGATCCCTTTCTAATCCATTCTTACCCCATCAGAATCATCTTTCATGAAGTCCTAATCATGCTACCTCCCATCTATTTAAAATCCTTCACTGTCTTCTCACTGCTCTTAAAACTCAACAGCCTTAACACAGCACTACATGGCCCTCCATAGTCTAGCACCTGACCACCTCTCCCCCTCCTTTGTACTCAGGTGATCTGGTACACTACTGATTCCATAAATGCAACATGCTCCTTCCCATCACAGGCCTTCACAGTGCTGGCCTGCTGTCTGGAACACAGAGACTGTTTTTGTTAATTTCTGACGTTGTCCACCATCAACAGAACCTTAATATTGTTAAATCAATGCTGAATGTTACTATAATATATAGTACTATAATAGTATTAACGTTTGTCATAATAGCTAGCATACAAGTATAATGTTTATTAACATATGAGTATATACTGATTTATTAACACTAGTAAATTTTCATATTCACTAATGTGGCCACACCTATTACTAAGGCAAAGTGGGCACAGTAAATTGATCATCTAAAACACTGCAGCCCAGGATCTTTATAACGCTGGTGAGCAAATCTGACATCTGCACAATAAGTTATAAGAATGGGAAAGACTCAGGAGATACAAGTCATTATTTACTCTCAAAGACCATGTGACACAGTGAGAGTACTGAACAGAGGGTAAGGAACAGAGTTCTTCCCAGGAGCTCCATGTATTACTATTACATGGAAAACTTTATTTCTCTAGCTACTTCATACATAACATGCTACATTTTGCTCTAAAATACAGGATGACCATTTAGGAAAGATTATTCCTCTTCATTTCCATGTCGATTTGCTAGATTAATTATTCCCGAAGAGCCCTCTCCTCTCCCTACCCCTGGGTAACTTATCCCAGAAGATAAATAACAATTTATCTAATAAGGGGGAAGAGGCGCGGACCCTAAGAGTCTTGGCCTCTTTTTTTCTCACTCTCTGGGAACTTAAACATCGATAGGACACTGG